CCGGCCCGGCCTCCCGGCCCCCCGCCGGCCGCGCGCCCCGCTCGAGACTCACCGGCGGCGGCCGCACCTTGCAGATCCCGGTCTGCTCGGCTATGGGCCGTATCTTGTGGATGAAGGCGAAGGGGTCGGCGAACTCCTCCCAGCTGGGCTCGAAGACCGGGCACTCAGGCGGCGGCAGGAACTCCCCCAGCGGGCCGGGGCCGCCGAGGGCCGGCACGGGGCGCGGGCCGGGGGCCTCCATTCTCGCGGCGCCGCGGACGCGGCTGGGTGGCCGGCCTCGGCCTCCTCCGACACCTCGGCCTTCCTCCTCCTCCTCCTCCTCCTCCGACTCAGATCCGGCTGCTCAGACTCCGACTCCGACACCGACCGACGACGTAGTGCCGCGACAGCCACGCCGTGCGCCTCCGCCGCCACGGCGAGGAAAAGGAGTCCCACCCCACCCCCACCCCCACCCAGCCCGCGCCGAGCGCCCGCCCCCGGGCCGGGTGGAACGGCCCCCGGGAACGGATCGCGGCCTTACGGCCCAGCCCAGCCGGCCTCCACTGACCGTTGACTGCGTGCCAGAGCCCCCTCCCTCCCTCAGGAAGTTATGGGTCTGGGGGAGAGGCTGGGCTCACGGGTGGACCCCCAGTCCCACCCCTCCCTGCCCTGCCTAATGGGAGGCGCCCTGGTGGAAGTCCGCGGACATTTGGTCAGACCCCCGGGGGCGTGGGGTGTCGGGGCCGGAGGCGGCTTTTCCAGGTAGAGGGGACAGCTCGAACGTCACCACAGCCTAGAGGTGAGAAAACAACAGGAGTATAAGAAACTAGCACTCTGTACTAGGCCTTGTGCACGTGCTTTCATGATGAATTTTTAATATATACAACCACCCTACGAGGCAGGTACTCGTTTCAGTTTAAACATAAACCCAGCGAGGCTCAAGTTGATCAGGCCATTTGCCCAAGTTGCATATAGGCCAACAAGTGGTGGAGACAGCACCTAACCGGAAGGTAGGGTGTTGCAGGGAACAGTGCTCCTCGAGCAACAAGGCGGCGGGTGTGGACAGTGTATGTCAGCTGCTTGCATCTGCGCTTCATCCCGCGCCAGAGTCCCAGCTACTGTCACCACTTTGCAGAGCAGACAGTAAAGGCACAAAGAAGTTCAGTAACTTTAAGAAATAAGAACATTTTTGACACATTTGGAGGGGTGGGGAGGGTAATGTCCTGCCCCAGAGAAGGGAAGAGAGGGAACTCAAAAAGTAGAACTTCAACCCTAAAAAGACCTCTTTCCTCTATAAAGGAGCCAAACCCACGAAGGACTGTTCGCCAGGGCCTCCTTGGTAGGTAGGTCTCAACAGAGTCCTAGTCCTGCTGTTAGATTCACCTAAGGAAGAGTCTCTTATCCTTGAGGATCCTTCCTCTAAAAGGCCATGGAGGGGAGAAGCCTCCTCTTCAGAAAGCTCTGAAGTAAACCCAAAGGTCCTTGGATAAGGCAGATTCGTTCCTTGCTGTATAGGGCTTAAGGATCTTGCTAAGCCAGGGCGACGGAGGCTGAAGCCAAGGGTAGCTGGCATCCTATTAAGTCGTCAGTGTACAGAGGATGTGAGATTGCAGGTTAGAATGTGCTCATGTGTCCACAGACTCTAGCTGGGGGTGTAGAGGAATCTGTTGCAGAAAGTTTTAACTTAGCTGAATATTTGAAATTTTTCACAATAAAATGTTGGGGAGAATAGTCCTCCTTTTGCTCTTTGCCTTGGGCTCTAGAGGGTCTTGCTGGGGTGGATTTCCTGTCATGTGCTCTCTCCCGGGAGCAGCGTTAAGACTATTATCACACTGAACACTGGCATCGTCCACGCCAGGTAGGCAAAACTCTGAGGCGAACTCCAGGCACGTACGGATTGCGGCCGAGAAGCAGGACAGCGCGCCCGTCCCCATCTACCCTCGGGCCGCCCCCTCACCGCGGCTTCCCTGCCCCGCGTCCGCCACTTCCGGTAGAGCCCAGAGCCACGGGGTTCCGTGGCCCGTAGACAGGGCAGCGGCAGCCCCTCCCCGCGGACGCGCCTTGCAGCTGAGGGAGGGTCGACGGCGGGGCCTCGAAAGGAGCTGGGAGGGGCCGCTCGGCCCGCGGGGACGCGAAGGCGCTCCCGGCCCTTTATGATGCGTGTTTACATGCGCGGAGGGATCCTTCCAGCTGACAGCCGCGCCGCGCCGCGCCGGCCCTTCTTTTTTTAAAGAGCCCGGCCGCGGACGCTGATTGGCCGACCGGCGCGGGCGCTGATTGGCCGGACGGCGCGGCGCTCGGGGGCGGGACGCGCGCCGCATTGTCTGCTCCGGGGCGGCTGGGTGCCTGGAGGCCGTGCTCGCTCCCGGGCGGAGGTCCGGCTCTCGGGGCCGAGGGCGCCGAGGCGGGGGCGGACCGGCGTCGTGTCCCGGGCCGGGGTCGGTGAGGGGCAGCCCCGGCGGCCGGAGCGGAGCCGAGCCCCATCCGGGTGCCACGTCTCCAGTAACCCCTCCTCACCCGGGACGACACCCCGCCCCGCGGGGCTCAAGTCTCCGGCCGCGGCATCTGTGCCTCCCTGGAGCCGAGCACACGGCCTTGGGGTCTCTGTCCTTCCCCCGCCGCTCAGCTTGCGGGCCTACCCCGGCCCGCCCGGTACCACCCCCGGCCCGGCCGGTCCCTCCCCGGCCCGCGCCCCGGCTCAGTAGCCCACGCCCCGGGCCAGCCGCCCGGTGTCGGGGCGCACCGCGTTCCTTCCGGAAGCCGCGCTGCACACTCGCAACCCAGGGCACGACGTGGGCCCGCACCCACCCCCGGCTGGGCTCCGGGAGCGGGGAGGCCGGCTCCCGGGCTGGGGCGGCCGGCGCGGCACGTAGCGCACGTGGAGGGCCACTCCTGCCCGCCGCCGCCTCCCCCGGCTTCCGGGGCGCGCGGTGCGCCTGCCCTCGGCGCGGCGTCCCTTCCACTCCACTCGTCCCTCCCCAGTCCCGGTGGGCCTCCTCTCTGCCCTCCTTTCCTGATTTCCCCGATGCACAGGCCTCTTCGCGACCTGCTCACAGTCTAGCTCGGCTCCTCCCTGTGGTTCGCTGTCGTCATCCCCCACCCCTCTGGGGGCCCTGGAATGTTGGGTGTCGAATGTCCCGCGTGGAGGCAAACCCACAGACCCCGACACCTCAAGCTGAGGTGCCGCCTCGGTGGCCTCCGTGTTTTACTTTGTGTACTCTCACGACGTGTCTCTGTTCCTGCACCTTTAACTCGGTGTTTGTCCTTTTCCACCTCCGTCCCTGCCCTCTCACCCTGGAAGGGAGGGAGCCAAGGCCTCCAGCCCCTTGCAGAAGGGGAGGGGAAATGGCCTTTATGGTGGTCCGTGGCTCCGTCTGGCCGAGGATGGGGTTTTGGACCGGACAAGGAGGTGAACCTGGCTCCCAGGGGAGGCAGGAAGATGTCGCACCACAGAGCCCACCTACTGGGCTGAGCCCTGGTCATTACCCCTGCTCCGCTGCCCGCCTCGGTGCCGCCGGAAGTCTCTTGGGTGGGACTTGTGCGCTCCGGGTCCCGCCCCACCCCCCGCCACGGGCCCGTCCTTGTAGGTCCACTCCCACCGTGACATGGGGCTCAGCCCTGGGCAGCTGGGTCTGGGTCCTAGGGAGGCACCTGATAACTAAATACCTTTCCCTCCTGCCCATTCCCTCTTCCTGTCCGGTCGTGGGACCCCTTCAGCCCGGAGGGACCTGGGGTCAGGACTTGGAGTCACCTGGCTGCATGGGCCCCTCCCCAGGGCGCCCCCTCCCGAGGCGTGGGGAGGGGCGGGGCGGGGCGGCGTCCTCACCCCTAGGCTGTTTCCTCCCATTCAGGTTGGACCGCTTTGGAGGTTCTGGGCTCTGCTGGGAAAAGCTGAAGAGGCAGAGAGAAAAGCACAGGTCCCTGTTCACCCCGCGGCCGCTGCCGTCACCCTAAGAAAGGGACTGGGAGCCCTCAGGTGGTCGGAGTGTTTGGAATCCTCTGAATCCAGGGTGAAAGTCTTGCAACAGGAATAAAACTTTACGTCAGAGCTTCCCGGAGCCCTCCCGAATCCACCACGCTCATTTGAAATCCAGAGCTCAACCATATCCTGTCACATGTCCAGCACAGGGTCTGACAGTCCTGACGCCAGCCCTTCTCCCCTCCCCTGGCAGGGGGCACTTGGAGACACTGCGGAACCAGAAACCAGATCGACCGGTGGCTGGAGTGATCCATAGTCTATTGGACACACCAGGCCTGTGAGGTAGATGGGTTGTTGTTCAGTTGCCAAGTCCTGTAAGGCTCTTTTGCAACCCCATGGACCGTAGCCCACCAGGCTCCTCTGTCCTTGGGATTTCCCAGGCACGAATACTGGAGTGGGTTGCCATTCCCTTCTCCAGAGGATCGCTTCAACTCAGGGATCAAACCTGGGTCTCCTGCGTGGCAGGTGAACTCTTCACCAGTGAGCCACGAGGGAAGCTGAAGTGTAGCAGATGGGTGACGTTAATAAACAACAAAAAGCCATCTCCTGGAGAAACTGAGGCTCAGAACAACTTAGCCAAAGTCACACGGTGGTAACAGAACTCAGGCTGGAATGGTAACCCTGGACCCTGTGATCATCCCTAAACACCACAATGAGGAGTGAGGACATGGAAACCCCATCTCAGATCTGACCACCAGCTGGCCCTTCAGCTGCCAGCACGCGTCCATTCTCTCCGCTTTAAGCCCCGATGGTCTCACATGCTCTGGACTGTCGTCTATAGTACCTCTGCTTACATCCTGATGGTTTCGCCAACAGTGCTCACCCTTACACAGTGTGGTTGAGACTCCTGCGTAGGCTTTGTAACCCTTATTGATTCTGATCTTTGACGTGAACCATGCTGCTCGCAGGCTAGCTGTTCCTATTTGGCAGCTTTCAAGAAGAGGTAGATGAAGTGTTTTCACACTCACCTCAAGGTTTGGCCGCTGCTTCTCCCCCCACTCTCCTCTCCATCCTCCACAGGCTGTCCAGCTCACATACAGCCTCCATTTGTACTGTTTATCCTTTGGTTTGCTTTTCACTGTTTATTCCTCATTTGTCTGCCATCCTCTGTTCATCCTCTCCTACCTCTGCCCAGAGCCCTTCAACTAGAGGGATCACTTCCTGCCCCATCTTTTCCCATCTCATCCCATACAGGCGCCCAGTATAAAGCCAGGACCTAGCATAGTCTCCGACTCTCCCAAGACCTGACCTAAAGCAGAAGCCAAAGACTCAGATGCCTAACAGGGGACAGAAAAAATTCTGAAGAGAATGCACTTCCAGCTTACCAGGGTCATCACTGTTCAGGCCAGGGTGACAGCAAGTTGCAATTTTTCAAGAAAAGACAAAAGTCTTAAGTGTTTTTACAGTCTCTCCTAATTTTAAAATGTTCAATCTAATTTCAAAAAAACAGTGTGTGGGCCAGCCAGACAAGCCTGCAGTCCAAATGTGTTGTGGGTGGACCCCCTCCCTGCAGAGGCTGGCGGTGGGGGTGATCAGTTTGCTGACCTTCAGGAAGAACAGTGGTTACCAAGGGAGCACCAGCGGGGACACCCAGCCAGGGATGCTAGAGAGACAAGGTGCCCTCTGGACCCCTCTCCCCTCCTCCCAGCAGGGGATCGAGCTGATGCTACTGGGCTAGAGGAGAGCTCTGACTTCCAGCAAAGTCCAGAGCCCACACCCAGGACACACTGTGACAGTAGGCACTGCATCCCCGGTGGTCACCCCTACCTGCATGCTGCAGAGGAGCCTGTCGGGGCCCAGTGTTTATTTTCATTTTAAGTCCACTGTACTTCAATTTAAAAATGTGTCTTTCCCCCTCTTTCACTATTGTTTGCCTCCTCTAAAGCGCTTAGAGAAGTGGGAATTAGATGTCAAAATGTGGAAATGTTCTCAAAGTGCTGTGCGTCTGTTTAAGAGTCTAAAAGTAAAATCTGGGTTGGGCTCAAGAATAAAGGGAGACAGACCCTTCAGATGTGGTGGAGAGGAAGGCAGTGCTGGGTTCCATGGTTGAAGAACGGTCATCATCCCTTATCACGAAAGTGCCTACATTTATTGAGTGCTTGCTATAAGCAGACATTTTTCTGTGGATGACTTCTTTTCACCCTCATAAAGATTTCACTGAGAGTAAGCATCGTTATCTTTTAGTTTCTAGATGAGGAACTGGGCTTCAGAGAGATTGAGTCATTTGGCCAAGGTCATGTGGCCAATAAGTTTAGCAGAACTGGATTCTGGCCCAAGTCTGAGTCTGAGTCCAGACTCTGAGCTCTTATCCATCACCCAGGTAGTGCCCTTCTCCGGTGAGCTGCCTGGTTCTCCTAGCACTGCAATGTCCCAGGAACCTAGCATGTATTTGTTGAAGAGATAGGTGACCACTCATCATATCACATAATCCCAGTAGCTAGTGACTCAACACATATTTGCTGAGCTAGCACTCTGGGCCAGCACTGTGCAAAGTGCTCTGGAAGCAGCATGGAATAAAGCGAAGGCCTGGCCCTCAGTCTAGAGACTGGAGACAGACAGCAATGCACACAGGTAAGATAGCTTCTGGTAGAAGTAAATGCAGAGAAGAGAATACATGGTAGCCAGTGGGAGGATGGGAGGGAGGTGATATGTGTTTTAACCGTGGTGACCTGAGGCCTCATAAAGAACCTGCGTGTTGGGAGGAGTCGGCTCATGGAAAGTCTCCGAAGGAAAGTTCTAAGAAGACCAAATGCCAGCACTCAAGAAACAGCTTGGAAAAAAAAAAAGAAACAGCTTAGTTTGTCCAAAGGATGCTCACTCCCCAACAGCTGGGGGAGGAGGCGCGGGGTGGGGATGGGAGATGGAGTCAAAGAGGCAGGCAGAGGACCAGGTCAGGCAGGACCCTGGAGGCCGCGGTCTGGAGTTTGATCTCCAGTGTAAAAGGTCCCCGTGTCTTGGGGAAGGAAGGCTGCAGGAGGACGGGGGTGGGGGGGGGCAGTCAGGTGGTGGCAGGTCCAGGCAGGAGGTGATGTAGCAGCAGACACAGGAGAGAGGGTCGTGTTCCAGATACTTTGGGGGAGAAGAAGGTAACAGCACTAAGTAGATGGACTATGGAGTGTTAAGGTGAGAGGGGTATCAAGGATTTTTCCATGAGGAGCTGGAAAAATGGTGGTGCTATTTACTGAGATGGGGAGAAAGAGATTTGGCAAGTAGGAAGACTCCGTAGCTCTATTTCGGCTCCATTAAAATGAAGACACCTCTTATCCAAATGGAGACGCTGAATCGTCAGGTCCTTCAGAGGTCAGGAAAGAAGCTGGGGCTGGAGGTCAGATTGGCTCTAGGAGATGTCAGTGTGCGTGTACACATGTATATATGAAATGATGGATATATGCACACCGCATATGTGTATGTATACACACATGTGGGCACACACATGTTCACGAGTAATGTACACAGTGAAGTCTGGGACTGGATCAGAGCCCTGGGGCGCACGACAGGGCTGACGGGGAAGAGGAGAAGCCAAGGAAGGAGCCTGGGAGGGAAGGGTCAGTGGCAAGAGCCGAGCCGGGCAGCGTGTGGAGCAGGGGGCGGCTGACAGTGAGAGGAGAGGGAATGTGAGATGAAGCGGCTGATCCAGGGCGACAGAGCTTCCAGCACGGCCGTGGAGGGAGGGGCAGGGCTTGGAAGGGACATTTCTTCGGAGGGGGGGTTGCTGTTTTACCCACCGGATGACGGTCAGCGTCCTTTAGACAGTGACAGGAATGGCCCAGTAGGGCAAGAAGCGTGGGTAGACGGCAGGAGGAAAGGGCGTCCTCACGGGGCGAGAGCATGGAGCCGGCTGCCCAGGGCAGGAGGGACCCGTCCGGGCCTCTCAGCCAAGCGCAGCCCTCGGGTGAGCCCTGGCTGGGTGTCCCCCTGACGATGGGTCAGCTGGCCGGGACACAGAGCAGCATCACAGAGGGAGCCTAGCTCAGGCTGGAGCACCGGGGGAGGGGCCTAGTTTGCAGGTGCTGGATCCTCCAGCACACCAGCTCCTCTCTCTCCTGCTCATCCAGGAGCCTGACCCGCTCAGGGCTGTGACAGCGCTGTGCACCCTGACCCCCCGGGCGGCCAGTGAGTGACAGGTAACAGGTAACATGGGGAGTGACAGGTAACCTGCGCACCGGGGCAGCAGGAACAGCGCTTGGTCACTTGAGGGTGAATTCCTCCAGCTATCGTTGTAAAACCTTTGATTCAATATATGTATCCGTGTATTTATGGTCTATGAAAAAGAAGCCTATTTCTATCACATGTACTGATTTGTATCTGAATTACCCATCTGGCTAAAAGTCCTGGCTTAAGAAAACCAGGTAAGAAAAGTTTAAGCCTTCCTGCTGTATGTAAGTACTGTTTTTATAACTCTTATCAAAAAGCTAAATGGTTAAGGGAGAAAAGCATGGTAACCTCTACCAAAATACTAAAGTGGCAGGGAGCCATGAAAATGGGGGAAATTAGAGAATATTGTAGCCTTGGGAGCATCATAATTACTGATGACGATTTCTTTTCTTTTGTGTACTGACTGCAGAGAAACGATCAAGCGTGGGAGACAAGGTATATTAAAGCCTTTCTTCTGATCATTTAGAAACAATCAGAAAAACACATTCTCTCTGGAGAAAAGACACAGACAGGGAAAAAGCAGCATACGAGTGCTCTGGAGGCTGAGTCAGTCTGAATTCCTGCAACCCATCACTCCCGAAAGGATTTTTCTTTCACTCTGAGTTAACAGAATTATGTTCTAATCGAGGTCTGTGAATAAGATTAAGGGTTGGAATAAATTAAGGATGTCCTTTACAAAAAGTAGGAAAGGCATCAAATTGCTTAGCACTTAGCAACACTTAAGTTCAGCTATTTTAATAAATAGTTTAGCTTTTGTTTAAAAAAGTAGGAGTGGGTGGTAGCCATCTGTTTTCTAAGATAAACGGGCTTCACCAATGAAGGCCCAGCAGACCGTGATCACTGGAGCAGGGAACACTCGGAGAATTGGACTCTCCAGGCAGAACTGCAGAGAGAGGGCGGCAGAGGGCCCGGGCCGGCGGGCCGGGCTCAGACGGAGGGCAGGCGTGGGGAGTGCGTGCGCAGTGGACAGAGGGCCGGGAGGGGCAGGCCTGCGGGAGACGGTGAGGCGTGCCAGCCTGCCGCCCTCTCGCCCAGGAGCCGCCATGCACTGCCCCCTCGGGCGCTGCTGCATCGTCTCAGTGGGCCTCGGCGTCCTGTGGCTCCTGTTCACGCTGGACGTCCCCAAGGGAGTTGAAGACGACCAGGCCAGCATGGCTGTCAAGGTCCAAGTGGCGGCCTTGCCCTCGCTGCGCGGGGTCGGGGTGGGTGGGGGTGTGGACGGCGCTCGTCCCTCTCACGGGAGAGCAGGAGGCTCCGAGGGATGGGTGTGGACCTGGCGGGATGCACTGGTCCACAGAGAAGCTGATTCTCCCCCCCCCACCCCCATATTTGTTAAGGTAAGGAAGGCAGCAAGTGCTGCATGAGCCCTGGATGCTCTGGCCGGTGGTCAGACGTCCTGACGCCGTGCTGGGCTCACTCTGGGGGCAGTGAGCCACTCTCCTGGAGGAGCTCTGGGGAGACCACGAGCGGTAAAGCCCATGCTTTCTATGTCAGGAGGACCAGGCGCTGCCTCTGCCAGTACCCCAGGAGGACAGCTACAGGAGAAGGACGGACCTGGGACCACTAGAAGACTGGCAGAACCTCACCTCCAAATGCCTGGAAAAACTCCAGCAGAGAAAGAAGAGTGAGTTCCAAGGAGGGGAGTGGGTCCCCGGGAGCAAGAGAGTGGAGAGGAGGCGGGGAAGGGCTCCCTGGTGTCCAGTGGTGAGGACTCTGCGAGTCCACTGCAGGGGGCGCGGGCTCTGTCCCTGCCCAGGGCACCAAGATCCTGAATGCCATGTGGTGTGGCCAAAATAGAGGGAAAGAAGAAGAAGGTGGGGACTCGGAGAGAAGAGGCAGGGAGACGAGAGGGCAGGGTGGCCGGGCGTCCGGGGGCTGGGCAGAGAGTCCTTTCCCCGTCAGGGCACCTGGTCCCAGGGATGAGGAGCAAGGAGGGGGAAATAAAGTGGCTGCTCCCGGAAGACAGTCCGAAGCACCCGGGAGGAGGGGGCCCTTGGGGCGGCGCGGCCCGACTCGCCCAGATCGCGGCTCCGGGGCGCCGGGACCTCTGGGGCCACGCGGGCAGATTCAGAGCTGAGGCGGGGCTCGGACTCATGGCTTCCAGGAGACCTTCGTGAAAGGAGAGCTTTGTGAAGATGAGCTGGGTAAAATCAGAGGGAATGACAGTAAATATAAAAGTAGCTAATGTGTGTGCTGAGCACAAACCACGGGCAGCAAAACCCGGGCTCCAGGAAGCCTCGAGGCCGCGGGGAGCAGCGCCCTGGCTCAGGGCTCCTCAGGCTTTGGCATGCACACCAGGCTCCCAGCGACGGTGTCCCAACGCAGAGCCCAGGTGGGGGCCGCGCTCCCCACAGCAGGGGCCTGCACCCCACTCCGGGGTGGGAAACGGGAGCGGGCCGGCGTGCGCGAGCCGGCGCCCCGCCCCCTGACGCCGCCACTTGCCTCCCCAGCGTGGCTGACGGTGGGCATCTCCTCGCGGCCCCGGCCTGGTCCGGAGCCCAGCGGCCTCCTGTACACGCTGCTCTCGCTCTTCCGCGCCACCTCGAAGGTGGAGCAGAAGCGTCTCACGGTGCTGGTCCACCTGGCAGGCGCCGACCCCGCCTGGCTCGGGGAGACCGTCCTGCACATTTCCAGCCTCTTCAGCCCGCAGATCCTGGCGGGGCAGCTGCTACTGATCCATGCCCCTCCAGACACCTACCCGCCCGCGGGCACCGGCCGGGAGCCCTGCTCCGAGCAGAACGTGGATCACGCCTTCCTCATGAGCTCTGCCTCGAAGCTCTCGGAATTCTTCCTGCTGCTGGAGGACAACGCCTTCTGCGCCCCCAACTTCATCAGCCACGTGCAGTGGAAGGTGGACACGCTGCGGTCTCAGCCCTGGGTCTTCCTGGAGTTCGCCAACCTGGGCGTCCTGGGCAAGCTCTTCCGCAACGGCGACCTGCCGACACTGGCCCACTTCCTGCTCCTCTTCTACCGGGAGAAGCCCCTCAACAGGCTGCTCGCCCACTTCCGCGTCCTCCTGGCCCAGAAGGACCCCATCCTGTGCACACCTTTCCTCTTCTACCACAGGGCCACCTACTACCCCCTGAACGACAGGCAGGAGGCCTCGGGCGCATACAGGAAGAGCCCCTACGCCCCTGACAACCCGCCAGCAGCCGCCTTCACCGACATGAAGGTATCTGAGGTCCACTTCCCCTGGGAGGCCTACACTCTGGACGAGTCCTTCTTCTGGACCCACAACGTGAGCGCCGGCAACCACCTGACCGTCATCCTGAACCAGCCGGCCGACCTGAGGAGGGTGCAGGTGCTGACGGGCACCATCGTGGATGGCAAGTACGCTCTGGAGAAGGGGCAGGTGGAGCTGGGCTATGGGCCTGAGGGCATGCCGCAGCGCTGCTCCAGCTTCGTCCTGCTGGGCCGCCTCCTGGAGGGGCAGCTGGATCAGGAGGTAGTGCCCCGGTCCATGGGGTACCAGGTCAGCTGCGTGAGGCTGCTGGCGAACGCCAATCAGACGGGCGGGCTCATCGTCAGGCACATTTACCTCTGGGAGGAGCATGCCAGAGACGCGGGCCACTTGGGATGAAGACAGACCAGGAAGGCAATGAAACATTAAAATCTTGCAGTCATTCTAGCCTGAGTGATCTGGGGGCGGGGCGGGGGCGGGGCGTGCCAGGGAATGAGGGGCAGAGAGGGAACACTCTGGTGCCAACAAGACACTCCACCTGCTCCTTCCTTTTTCTATCCAGACAAGGGACTCTTTCAGGCTCTCTTTTCCTGGGCCAGATGTAGCTTAGCCCAATTTGGGACAAGGCCCTGGTCGCTCCCAGAACCTTTCTATTCCTGGGGTACTGAGGTCAGCACAAGGACAGGGTGATGGTGTGTGTTCTCCCACCTGGAGGAGAGGGGTAACCGGAGGGGAAATCATGGCCGGGCCCTGGAATTCACACAGAAGAAGCTAAGAAAGGGTCTCTCATGAGGAGTCAAACTCCCCGAGGCGCTGGAGTTCACAGACACATGCACAGCAGTGAAATGAAGCTCTTGACGCTGTCTTTCTAAGCCATTCTGTGGCGCCAGCCCAGTTCCTTCCTTCCCTCACAAACGACTGTGGAACGAACAGTTTGCCACCAAGCATCACCTTCTCCTTGGTGCTCATGCCTCACCCCCACACCAGCTTCTGAATCCCAGCGCTGCTGAGACTGCTCCCTGTTCGTAACGAGAAAAATAGTCAAACTTAGAGGGGTTTCCAGATCTCATTCTCCTTAACTCTCTGCAGCAGTACACAGTACAACTTAAGTCTTCTTGACTCCTGGGATTCGTCCATTCATCAGAATTACTGAATCCCAACTATGTTCCGGGTTTCCCAGGTGGCGCTAATGGTAAAGAACTCACCTGCCAATGCAGGAGACTATGAGAGTCGGGTTGCGGGTTCAGTCCCTGGGTTAGGAAGAGCCCCTGGAGGAGGCCGTGGCAGCCCGCCCCAGTATTCTAGGCTGGAGAATCCCACGGAGAGAGGAGCCTGGGGGGCTGCAGGCCATGGGGTCTCACAGAGTGGGACACGACTGAAGGGACTTAGCAGGCTCACTCTACTATGTTCCAGGGGCCAAAGGAGCTCCTCTTGGGTTTAAGAAGCACAGGACCCCTGGGAGTACGGCCCTGTGTTAAAACTTCACTGGGAGCTTAGGAAAGGCTTTCTGGAAGTCACAGCGTCTAAACCTGACCTACCAGATTTTCAGAGAAGAAAGCCAGGTGATGAGGAAGGTTCAGGAAGATTTTCCAGTAAAAGAAATAGCATGTAGGGAAGTGGGCCAGAAGTGAGAAGGAGCTTGGCTCATTGGGGAAAACTACTCATTTAATGGGGCTGGAAGTGGAGGGCAAGCTGGAGTAGGAGTGAGGCGAAAGCTGCAGCTGCAGGACGAAGAAAGAACCGGTTTATAAAAGGCCGTGGGCAGTTCAGTGGGGGCAAGGATGATCACTGCGACAAGCAGTGCTGGGACAGCTGCATGTCCACGTGCCAGGGAGCGAGGTGTGGCTCCTGCCTCACATTACATTAAAGATGAACCCAGATCTAGACCCAGATGGAAGAGCTAAAAACTAAAAACCTCTTAGAAGAAAACAGAAGAAAAAGTGTAAATCGTTGTGACCTTGGATTAGGTGATAGATTCTTAGATATGACACCAAAAGCACAAGTCAGCAAAGGATAAATAAATTGGTGGTCGTGGTTGGTGGTTTAGTCATTAAATCGTGTCCGACTCTCGGGACCCTATGGATTGTAGCCTGCCAGGCTCCTCTCTCCATGGGATTTCCCAGGCAAGAACACTGGAGTGGGTTGCCATTTCCTTTTCCAGGGGATGTTCCCAACCCAGGGATCGAACCCACGTCTCCCTCATTGCAGGTGAATTCTTTACCAACTGAGCTACCAGGGAAGCCCAAATAAATTGGACTCTATCAAAATTAAAAACTTTATGGTTCCCGGGATACTGTCAAGGTAGTGATAAGATAACCCACAGAATGGAAGAAACATCTGCAAATCATATCTGATGAGAGATGGATATCCAGAATATATAAAGAAAGCTCACACACAATAATAAAAAGACAAATAACACAATTAAAATTGGGCAAAGGATTTGAATAGACATTTTTCTGAAAAAGATACACAAATGGCCAACAAGCAAGTGAAAAGGCACTCATGGTTAGTCATTAGGGAAATGCAAATCAAAACCACATTGAAACACCACTTTACGCCCACCAGGATGGCTATTTAAAAAACAGGAAATAAGTGTTGGTGAGGTGTGGAGGAACTGGAGCCTCACACATGCTATTGTTGCTGTTCGGCCACTCAGTCGTGTCTGACTCTTTGCAGCCCCAAGCATCGCAGCACGCCAGGCCTCCCTGTCCATCACCAACTCCCGGAGTCCACCCAAACTCATGTCCACCGAGTCAGTGATGCCATCCAACCATCTCACCCTCTGTCGTCCCCTTCTCCTGCCCTCAATCTTTCCCAGCGTCAGGGTCTTTTCCAGTGCGTCGGCTCTTCGCATCAGGTGGCCAAAGTATTGGAGCTCCAGCTTCAGCATCAGTCCTCCCAGTGAGTATTCAGGGCTGATCTCCTTCAGGACTAACAGGCTGATCTCCTTGCATCCAAGGGACTCTCAAGAGTCTTCTCCAACACCATAGCACGTGCATGCTTAGCAGAGTTGTAAAATGGGGCAGCAACTTTGGAAAATGTTTTAACAACTCTCAAAATGTTATAGTTACCATATGATCCAGCAGTTTCACTCCTAGTCTGCATGTACTTAAGAAAATAAAAACATACATCCACACAAGGGTTTTCACATGAATGGTCATAGCAACATGGTAATAACCCAAATGTGGAGACAATCCAAAAGTCCATCCCTGATGAACAGGTAAGTGACACGGTGTATCGTATGATGAGATAACTGCTCAGCCAGGAGAAGGGCTGGAACACTGACATGGGCTGCCGCATGCAGGAGCCTTTAAAACACGGTGCGGCATCAAGGAAGCCAGTCACAAAGGCCAGAGAGCTTACAGCTCCACTTGCATGAGATGCCCGCAGTAAGCAAGTCCAGAGGGACTCGTGTCTGCAGGTGAGGGAGAGCTGGCTGTGGCAGTGGTCGCACTCTGAACATACTGAGAACCACTGAATTGTAAACTTTAAGAAGAGAGAGTTTTGGGGCGTGTGAATTATGTCTCAACAAAGCAGTTACTTGTTTAAAGCTGTAGAAGCCAATGAAAGGGTTTAGAATACGCTGGCGGCAGCAGCAGGTCACAGAGTGGTTCTGAGCAGGAGAGGAAGCGGCTGTGGGTGCTTCGGGGAGGTCACCCCAGGCACCCCAGCGGGGTAGCTGGAGGGGGTCAGGATGGGGAAGCCCGTGAGCACTAACCAGATGGGGTCTTCCCTGGTAGTCCGGTGGCTGAGACTCCACACTCCCAGCGCGGGGGCCCGGGCTCGGTCCCTGCTCGGGGACCTAGATCCCACGTGCCACAGCAGAGTTCACAGGCTGTTACTGAAACACAGAAAAAGGACCCCACACACCGCAGTGAAGACCCGGCACAGCAAAACGAATAAATGCGCACAAGGAAACGTCAAGGAAAACCAACGAGACGACGAGGGGTCTCAGCCCCGGCCGCTTCTCCCTCCCCGTCAGCCTTCTTTTCCACGGTAAATCAGAAACGCATCTGTTTTCCACATACCTCTGACTACTCACGGTATCTGTCCCGGCCACTGTTTCTCCAGCCAGCCCTGAGCGGGGACAGTTCCAGGGCTTTCTGCCACGTCTTCCTTCCGCCTTCAGTCAGGGTCAGAGCCGCACCTGAGGGAACGTTCAGGCACCGCGCAGGTCTGTCATCCTCGAGGGTCTCCAGCCCAAGCCTCCGTGTCCCTCGTCCGGCGGAGGACGCCACCCTCCACCTGGCGTTGACTGGAGCCTCAGCCCAGCACATCTGAGGTGAAATTCTTCAGCGTTTGTCTGTTTCTGACGATGGTTACCTTACCTACGTAAACTCACAACCCTAAAACAGGGCTTTGAAGAAATGGTCCGTAAGCTGCTTACCGCAGGATCCCCTGGAATTGCTCACTGAAAGGGATTTTGCCCCCCCGGCTCGTCCTCCAGTCAGAGTGCTCCAGCAGCGGGCCTCACCTCCCCCGCCTCGCCCTGGCCGGCCCCCCAGCCCCGGGCCAGCCTCTCAGACCGGTCGCTGTACGTCAGGCCGCGGGCAGCCCCTGTCACCCCCCGAGGGGCGCTGGGGAGACTCGGGAGGGGCTGGGGGAGGCCGGGGAGGCTGCACGGGGGCGGCGGCCGGCAGCGGAGGGAAGCGTGTGAGCGAGGGCCCCGCGGCTCCCAAGGCCTCCTGGCCCGACAGCGTCCCTGGGGTCCAGGGCCATCACATGGCCGTCCCGGGGAGAAACCTGTCAGAGGGGGAAGGAGCGCAGGAAGGCGGGAGGCCTCCCACAGCCGCGCTCCCACCAGCGGAGAGGGGAAGTCTCCTCCCCTTGCTCGCCGGCTGCTCTGGGACCCGGCTGGACTTCCCGGATGCCCCATCATCACCCCGAGCCTGAGGACACAGGGCAGCTGACTCCCTGCGGCCTCCACGCCGGGGGCAGGAAAACTGGGGGGTCCGACCTCTGGGGTCCCAAGTGGTCTCGCCTGTAGGATGCAGACACTCAGGCCGCTGAGAAAGTGAGTGGGGTCCGAGTGTGAGGCCCGGGGACTCGCAAGAGCCCCTCGCGTTGGGTCCTGCTGCCGGCGGCCCCCGGGGCGCTCCCGCCTGCAGCCCCTCCCTCGTGTCGCCGCTGTCCCGGGGCTCTTCCCCACCACCTCCACCCTGGCTGGCCCTGCCTGGGGACCAGCCCTGCCGCCCGCCAGGCTGGCACGCCCGCCGCCACGTGCTCCCCGAGCCACGAGGGCCCAGACCGCGCTTCCTGCCCCGGGAACTGCCTGGCCGTGCCCTGCACCTCGTCCCCCAGGCCTCGCTGGGTGCACGGCAGGCCCTCCTCCCTGAGTCTGAAGTCCCCGCTGCACTGTCTGCCCACGCCCTGTCCCCACCACCCCCTGCCTGGGCACCGGGCTGGTCTGCCGCCCCTCCCTCTCCCCTTCCACACGCGCAT